TCTGGCCAGATTTTGAGTCCAAAAATCTGTAGCACATCGGACAGAATTCTAAGCAGTTTTTGGGATTGATTTGGCAACAGAATCAAGAAATGTAAGTTATGCAATGAGCACATTGGAGGGACGTACCCCCTGAATGTGAAGATGAATTGAAGCCTAAAGTTGGCATGTTATTTAATTGGTCTGAATATGGATTAGACTTTTATAAAAGGTATGCACACTCTGTCAGTTTTAGTATTAGCAATTTAATAAAAAACTAATGATAAAACAATGAGTCCGTGGTGATACATTCACTGCGAAATCTGGGAAAAGAATTGTGTACACCCAACCATCGTAACCCATTTGCATAATGGATTTCAAGAGTCCATCACTCACTCCCTAATTTATAGCCTTGAAATTTAAAAGATCAAATGGTACAGCTCTCATATTTGAATAAACCAGATTGTCCTATTCTTTAGATGCTTTAGAGTTTAAAATTTACAACTTGGAATTTTATACATTCTAAAGAGCAGTTTGAAATTGCTACTCTGTATTTTTTTTCACATCTCTAAACATGCTGGTTGAATATTTTTAAATGTGATATGGTCATTATATCCAAGTCTAAAAAACAAAACAATTCAAATCCATTAGAAACATAGAATACTTTAAATCTCCCAACTTTGAAAAATTGATGTTAAATTGTAAGTTATCTTGTTTTAGGTTCAGGAAATGTGGGAAAAGAATTGTGTATACCCAACCATTCTAACCCATTTGCATAATCGATTTCAAGAGTCCAACACTCACTCCTAACCTTTACCAGAGTCCAACACTCACTCCTTACTTTATACCCTTGAAATTTAAAAAATCACATGGCACACCTCTCATTTTTCAGTGTCAAACAGGATTGCAAAGACGTAAAAAACAGGTCATAATTTAAAAACTGCTAAAAAATGTATTCTTTATAGTCACAAGCTTGCGAGTTAATATGCAGAATGTTCGAAGGAAGTAATGTGAGCAGAATACACATCTGAATTTGAGCACTCTTGAATACATGGAATTTAAATTACCTGAAGAATAATTTTCCAAAGTGTTGCAGGTTCAGCCCTACCTGTAGGTGAAAAATGAAACTTCTTTCAGTAATAGAAACAAAAAACAAAGAGAAGAACAAAGCAAAGAACTCATAAGATTATACCTAGGAGGAATCTTGGAGATGGTGTCTCATCCCATCTCCCAAAATCGAATATAAATAGCCCAACGTACATGCTGAAATAATTGGAAGGGGATTATTAAGGGAAGGATCCATAAATACAAGAAGAGGAATCAGAGAAGACGTTTCAATCATACCAGGAAATCTGCACATCTGATACGCAACGCCTAGAATCTGGAAATCTGAGGTTGATAGTATTTAGAACCACAACAATTTGATAGTATTTAGAACCACAACAAAAAACAAGACAGTAAAACGCAATTGCCTTAACTCAAAACACGGCCTAGAGTCTGACCTAAATATTTGTCTTAGATTGTATTTCAATTGTTTTGAGCTTCAAATTATATCGATCTAAGAGGTAAAATTATTTCATAATTTAAAATTAAATAATATAATAGATATAGTACTCTTTTTTTATATTTTAATTTTACTTAAAGAAAAATGCAAGTGTTAATATGAACTTAAAATTTGTTTAAAATCAAAGTCATAACCCGTTGGGTAGACCCAAACCGAATGACAATGGTGATGAACATATAGTTCTCTACCTGAACCCGCATTGACCCGAACATGAAGTAGTCCGAACCCGAAGCAACCTGAAATTTTTAAAAATGAAGTCATAAGTTCTTGGGCCAACCCAGAGTCCCAGACCCAATTATAAGAGGAGGCTGTGGTGTTAATATTCCTTACCTTACGTCTTATTCAAGGGAATATGATGATCTTGCAAATATGTAACCTGTTTTACATTATGACAACTCAAACAAAGCTAATACTTTGAAGAGTTTTTGACTAAACAAACCATTTGAACACAACACCAATGGCAAATCTTCAAAGAAAAAGTGTAGTTTTAATATTTTAAAAAAATCAGACTTTGAACTGTTTGCTGATGGTTCACTCAAAGTGCTGGTTCAGCAATGAAAATTGCATATCTACTCCCTCATTTCATCATCCTCTCCCTCTACTGCGCTCCCTCTTGCCGAATCCCGCCACAACAGAAGAAGTGTGGTAATTTCACTCTGCCACAAACCCTACTTAATTACATAATGTGTTTGAGAGTTTATAGGCATACTTCCACGTAGGGGTGAGTTTTGGATACATATCACCCTCTCCAAACCCTACTTTCGTGGGGTTTTACTGGGATTGTCGTTCTTTTTTATGGCAGGGGGCATTCAATTTTGGGTGCAATGAGATATTGAAAGTACTTACGTGCAGCCGATTATCAGAGGTTGAGTTTTCAATGCCTTTGGTCCATTTCGTATCCCCCCTCTTGTGACGAGGAACCTGCGATTCATTGGCATAGCTTCGGAGTAACTCTTGTGACAAGTAACCTGCTTTAGCAATTTGAAAAGGTTATGTAATGGTACTTTAAGGAAGTTGTTAGAGGATTAAGCTTCTTTTTAGGGACGGCCATTAGTTCCATAGACCCATTGAGGAAAGTGATATCTTGGAATCTGTAAGCAATGTTCCCTTCAATCCTTTCCTGATTTTCAGACTCGGCCTTTATGTGCGTTATTGGATTGCCGAAGATGATGCTGTCCATTGGAATTGGTTGTGCAATGGCATGAGCAAAGTTATGGAAGCCGGATGTGGGTCTTACGTCTTTTCCGTTGTCCCAGCAGCTCCTTAGTGTGGCTACCCTGAAAGCCATATCTCTACAGCTTGCACTTCAAGTCCACACTCTCTGCAAATAGGATGAACATCATTTCTTTAGTTAATTTGAGACTCAACAGGTGTGAAAGTTAAACATATATCGAAACACTCCCTTTGAACCATATTAAACTTCGCATTTTTTTCACAGAGTTTAACAGAAGTTGAAAAAAAAGTGAAAATGTACGCAGAGAAGAGAAAAATAATGTCCAGTCAATGCTTTCCTTAAATAGAATGGGAACTTTATTTTAGGACAAACCAAAAAAGAAAGTAAGTTTTTTTGGGAGTATAAGCTAAACATAAACATCACTACAAAACAAAGATTCAAAACCAGATTGATGATTTGAGGCCCCAAAAAACAAAAGATAGACCGAGTTTAATAACAAGAACACCATACGAGCAAAATCACACAAACAGGGTCGGGGGATGGGAGTATGCATACCTTACTGCATGAAATTTTCACACCTCTTTGATCAACCTTGCCTAGCTAATCTCAGCCTTAGAATGCGCAAACTACGAACAAACAACAGAGGGTTAGATTGATACACACAGCAAAGATATGAAATTTAGTGTATCCATCAACCATGCACGAGAGATATCGAATTTGGAGTATCCATCAATCATGCAAGAGAGATATCAAATTCAGTGTATCCATCAATAATTGGGGGAAAAGTTTGAAATTTGGGAACAAGTAACAAACCTAATTTCTTTCGTAGCGTATCACTCAATTCTAGAAAAAATAAGAGGGGAAGTTCAACTCACTAATATGATGATCAAGTTCATGATTGGTTTAGTTTAAATCCATGAGAGAGTGCAGTTATAAAAATTAAGAAATGATCTTAGTGACTCACAAGTAGTGTAACAATGTGCGAAGAAGATCAACGACCATAACAGCATTTTACATCTATGGGAATCAGAGAGCCTAGTGATGCAAATAACTCAGTAATTGAGTATCCATTGAAATAGCAACCTGTTAATCAATATATATGTGTGTGTGTGTGTGTGTGTGTCTAAACATGTTTAAAATGTTTAAACATGAAAATTGGAAAGATAAATCTAGAAAAATCTCTAGTGATGTAACAAATTAGTAGTATGAATTTTCTAGGAAGGATTGTGGATTGAATGACAAACAAGGATGGGAATTAGAAGGTTAAAATCATTTTGAAACTATGCACAATGCAGATTAATTAATGACAATGAAATTTTCTTATAATTGTTTAAACATTGGTAAATACTAATCTGAAATTCATTAATGGTGTATGGATAGACATGAAGGAGGGTGTACATCAATTTTTTGCCTATTTTTATGCATCAAAAAATGTGGCTTGTTTTTGCCTATTTATTTACCTTCTGTGATGTGTGAGTGATTTGCTTCAAAGGGAGGCAGTATATCTTTTGTCTTAATTCAACATAGAATTGTGAGTGAAGACATGCAAAAATTATAAAATCAACATCCCTAAACCAAATGAAAAGGAAGGTGAAATTACTTGGGCGATGACTAACGGGAGAAGCACGGGAGAGGAAGTATTGTAAACCGATTCTACCAGAGATTGATGAAGGAAGGAAAAGGCGATTGCACCAAAACCTGCATCTCTCTCTGTCAAGCTTGAAATAATTGGGGAAAAATTTTCGGATTTACTTGATGCCAAGTTGAAGAAGAAGAAGAATACCTGTAGTTGTAGTCGCTGCAGCTGGTGGTCTTGCTGGCCGAAGCACGTCAAATGCCTCTAGACAATGCCATATGCAAAATCGAGCAAAAACAAACCACCACAATCGCCGCCTGAATCATCTCAACCCGTTTCTTCGTTTGTGAGAGAGGCCGTGAATGCAAGGAAATCATATGCACGTCATTACTCTGGCGATGTAGTGCACCCCATAGGCAAAATCTATTGAAAGACACAAATAATCTGCGTTGAGGTCAAAGAGGTGAAGAGGTTTCATGTGCCGAGGGCAGAGAGAAGCTGAGGAGGTAGAGCGTCCGTTCAAAGCCATCCAACGCTCGTATCCCTCGTGGCATAGTAATCCAGATCATGTGCCATGTCCCCTCGAAACGGACTTATCATGCGCCATGTCACTGCATTTTTTTCTTTTATGCACTTTCATTAATGAAGGGTATATAGAAGCAAAATCCAACGTTGAAGCATGAGTTCTCATAGAATCCGTTTCTCACTTCCAAAACCTATAAACATGAGGCATCATAAATCAAAGTTAAAAGATATGGTTACCATTAATAGGAATGGCATCTAAATAAATTAACACTTGTAAAAATGCTAATAGGTCATGTGGTATACTATACAAAATTAGACCTGTATACTGTGGGCTATAAGATTCCATGAGATCAATTCTTACTCTTATTTTCATTTCTCTTTAATATTGTTATCTTAATCTCCCCCTAAATAAAATTCACTTATAATATTCACACATTAAATGATTAAAAGGTGTAGTAGTAGTAGTAGCAGGACTGTAAAAAAAAGTAGTAGAAGTAATCTGAATAGTTTTTATATTCAAGCATCTCACCACTTGCTACATCCACAGTTCAGAAAATAAGGCCTTCGTCCATTCAGCTTCAGATACACAAAATAGGGCCTGCAAAATTTAGACAATTAGGTAAAAGTACAGGGCAGTCTTGATTATTTGCTGGATTGCACTTTGCAACTCGTCTAATTAGGGGTATGGATTTGCAATTCAAACAACAAGGGGTGCTGAAAGAACAAATATTATTAGTGAAAGCCACTGCCTTATTCATTTTTCATACCTGAGATGGCCTTTGTTGGCTATGGATGGATCAGGCTTCCTAGTTCCATTTGTTCTTATCTCAAAAGAAATAAAAAAACAAATTGAAGAATTTCAAATAAGTAATTAGTTGAGAAATGATTCAAATGAAGAGTCCACTTTTTAAAAAGAAAAAAATAATACAGAGTAATAAAGAACATACCTTTTGTTTTTCAAAACCCACAAACCCTGGCACACTGGGCAATAGATGTTCTAACACTGTCATGGCTGCAAACATGCCCACTGGGATGTGTTCCCTGCCAAATTACAACTTAGATCATTTAGCCACCATAATGTTCTAAACCTTGAACAAAGCTCACTCAGAATGGAATAACTTTTACATGAGGAACCATATACAACCTACCACTGCATTTTTTTTCTTTTTATTTATATACCAGAGTGCAGTAGCATAAATTATGAACTTTCATTAATGAAGGGCATATAAAAGCAAAATCCAAAGCTACAGCATGAGTTCTCGTAGAATCCATTTCTCACTTCCAAAACCTATAAACATGAAGCATCATAAATCAAAGTTAAAAGATATGGTTACTATTAATAGGAAAGACATATAAATAAATTAACACTTATAAAAATGCTAATAGGTCATGTGGTATGCTATAAAAAATTAGACCTACTGTGGGCTATAAGATTCCATGAGGTCAATTCTTACTCTTATTTTCATTTATCTTTAATATTATTATCTTAATCTACCCCTAATTAAAATTCACTTATAATATTCACACATTAAATGATTAAAAGGGGTAGTAGTAGTTGCAGGACTGTAAAAAAAGTAGTAGGAGTAATCTTCGTCCATTCAGCTTCAATTACACAAAATAGGGCCTGCAAAATTTAGACAATTAGGTAAAAGTACGGGGGAATCTTGATTCTTGGCTGGATTGCATTTTGCAATTCGTCTAATTAGGGGTATTGATTTGCAATTCAATCAATAAGGGGTGCTGAAAGAACAAATATGATCTCACAATCTAACCAGCAATCCTAATAACCTTGGAAAGAATAAGCAATCAAAATATCAGCCATCTTTCTTTAACTAAAAGCTAGACGCGGAACAATAGATGCAGATATGAAAGACGAAAGAATTGTAAAGCAACACAAAGAAAGAGTGCAGATATGAATCCCTCAATGATTGATTAAAAGGCTAAGGTGCAGTAGGGCTTTAGCATAGTTGAGAATGATCAGATGATATTTTTTCCTCAAAATTCTTGAAATAGGAAACTAATCAGATTGGATTTAGATTTCTGAAGAGTGAACAACAAAGGCATAAGAAGCGGTTGTTTTTGGTGCTGCCTGCCCTTCACAATTTAAATACAGTAGTTTTAAGAAAAGGTCATAAAGAAGAAGATAATACCTGATGGGTTAGGCGGAGTTGCTCGATAGATGCGCCTGGTGAACGGGCGCAAACTTGTCAAAATGCGTCCAAAATTCAATCCGGAATGTTTCTTCTTCGTACTGGCTCATTCGTGTACAATGGGTTTGGCTAATTCTGAGGGTTGACGGATGGGTTCCGGAAGCTGCTCACCGGAATCAATGCTTGACGGGCCGGTTTCTTGAACTTCTCCGGTCGCATAGGGGAACAGGCGCCGGTTAAAGCATATGAAACGGCGTATTTGGGTGGCGTCTGATTTTCAAGGCCGAATGTGAAACGCTCTTGTAAACACTAAATCCACCTCAATGCCATGTCACCTCCATCTCACCTTCCACGTGTCACCCTCACAATGAAATAACCCTACTTTATTTTCTATTTTGTGAATGTATACTTGGTGACCAATCTATATGAATACTCTAAGGCATAATGTGTAGTGAGTAGAAATAATCATTTTTTAAGTCTTTTATGTCATTTTTTGAATTGTGGATTTCAGATAGATAATAGTGTTTTAGGGTACATTTTTAAAAGCATTCTTTTTTTAATAAAGAAAGGTAGAAGGGTAGAGGAGTTAACTAAATCCCCTAAGAGAGTATAAAAAGCTACAGGGAACGATCCACCCAATGTTTGTTAAGGGAAAAACCCGATGTCTGTTAGGATAATTTCAATATTCAAATTAACATTTTCCAACAATAATATCATAATATAAAATTATCATGCCCAAGATCCGAATCCATGAATGTTTGGATGGAAGAAAGATCAAAACAGTCTAAGATATCATTTAGGATGCAAAATTAAAAAGAAATTGAAATTGAAGCGGTGTAAATAACCAACTTACCTTGCAGTCACTGTCTTCATCTCAGCAAAATCTAGTCGTTGTCTCCGTGACTACATTCGAAACCCTTGGGCCGACCATGGTTTCCGGCAAATAGTTCACAGAGAGATGACCCAAGAGATTCCAAGTATAAAAGAGAAGATCAGATGAACGAATATGGTATCCTTGAGATTCCTTCGTCGAAGAAGAGAAGACCTAATCGAGAGAGCAAATCGCTGGCGAGAGCCACCGCAGCCTCTCCGTCTCCAATTCTACCCCCAGTAATATGAATACGTAGTAAATAACAATAATTCAATTCCCCATGCTCCGCCGCCGAATGACCGGCCGGTCCGCATCTACGCCTACGGGATCTACGATCTTAGGCCATGGATTATGATATGTGTACCAAGTTTGTACCCCTCAGTTTTGCACCAACACTTGCACCAACACAAAGTGTTGGTGCAAAACTAATTTTTGTTAAACCCACCAACATTTGTGTTCGTGTGAATTTTTATTAACGCACCAACATTTGTGTCGGTGTAAACCATCGAAATGTTTGTGCAAACATGCGGTGTACAAATGGGGTATATTTTTTGGTGTAAGTGTAGCATGGTCCTTCGGCCATGCCAGCTCCCTCGATATGTTTGGTAAATTTTACTAGATAGATAATGGTAGGTAATTGTAAGTGAGTAATTGAAGGTAGATAAAATAAAATAATGTGTTAAAAAATTGTGTTTGGATGTTTTTTAGATAACCTAATGTATGGAATGAATAAAATTACTAAAATATCCTTGTAGTTATTTTTTTTTTATTTGTTTAAATTAATAAGTAACAAAGATTTGTTAATGGAAATTCGTGTATATATAGGTTGAAATCAATATAGTACCTATACTAATAGAAATTCCAAGGAATGTGAAACTCTCTAAGTAACAAGAAATTTTCACCATAATAAAGTCATTCCTAAAATACAAAAAGTAAGTAAATAATTTAATGTGAAACTCTCCTAATAGAACCGTGCGTTAGAAAATGATTCATGCATAGCCATGAATGGTATGATATGATTTCCAAGAATAGATTATTTCCTTAACATATGGTGATTGACAAAATTTACGAAAAAATATTATTAAGAAACAATCCTAAATAAAACTAAATTTGAAATTTATGATCACGAGTATATTATTCATCACCTTACTTTTACTATGTATGTTGGATAATATTAATATTATTTTGCATCACTTTACTTATATATGACAATCCTTAATTATGTATCTTGGATAATCAATAATATTATCCTGAATCCGTTTTTTAGTAAGGAATTTGTTATATCTAGAATGGACACAATATTATTTTGAATTCCTTACTTATATATATTTAATTGGCAATGAGTTAAATTGCTCACTTTTATATCCAAATTATGGAAATTCTTATATACTTAGGTCAAAAACCTATTATAAAAAGAAATAAAAAGAGTTGAAATGTGCCATTTACCACCCATTTTAATTTTTCCATTTCAATACATAGGCATTCAGAATCAATTATGCAATAAAAAAGTGGAGAATCATTAATTCAACTTCAGCCTTTTGTTTTTAAAAAGATTGGTGTTAGGAGCATCCTGCTTTTCCATTTCAATTGGGGCTATGAAAAAATCAAGTTGATGATACATGGACGAGATCAGCTAGAGATGCAAGAGAAAGAAGAAAAGGAATACTTCAACAAAAAAGGACGTAGAAAAGGTACGCACTTTAAATATTGTTTTATCCTAATATATTTAATTTTGTTTTATTGTTTTAAGGCAATCTGATACATAACATTTTGGAATTTTTTAAAATAACAAAATCAAACAGGATATTTTAGTGACCAGAATCTTTGTATTTAAAATTTATATGGTTGCTTTTTTAATGAGCATTAAAAATGTTTTTTAAAAAATATCTAAATCGTTAGTATAGATAAATCAATTTATGTTAAATAAATTAAGTTTTATATAAAATTTAAAATTAGATGTCAATTTTAGAAGGATTTAACAAATTATACATGTGAGAAAAAACACTCCAAGAAACAATTACATAAAAATATGTGTACTTTTTTAATTATAGTCATGTTATTTTATCAATTATAATCTCCATCCGTAAAAAAATTAAACGTCCTTCATAGGTTTCATAGAAATCATGGATAATTAAAATGTAAAATTGTTGGTTTATCTAGGTATGCATATAGCTTACTGATTTTTTTTATCAATTTTATATTTATATCAATAGGAATAAAATAATGTCTAATGAACCAACAATTACACTTGTGTGAATTTCTGCACGGTATATCTTCGCAAGGCTAATGTTGCTACTGCACTCGTGCTGGCTTTGTTGTTCCTTCGAAGGTCACGCTTGTAACGCCCCGAAAATAGGCCTATCAGAATTAATTATTTGATAACTAATTAATTGCTGAGAAGCACCCAAAAATAAGTAAATTCTAAAGTTTGTCAATAATTAATAAAAATTATATCGTTGTGTAGAGTTTGACTGTCTGACCCCAACGGTTCAATCGGATTTCAATTTGGAGAAAGTTGAACCAAAAAGTATACCCCAACTGGGACCAAAATTAGTCCCAATCAGGGACTACACACCAAACGGCGCCCTGTTCAATTACGCCGATTCCAAAATACGAACCACCGCTCAATCACGGAAGCTGCAAACCTGTGTCTTCTTCTTCTTCACTCGCCTATTTAAGGAGAGCCAATTCTCCCATTTCTCCACCAAAATCTATAATTCTTCATCCTATTCTGTTGTTCTGAGAGAGGAGAATACACTGGTGCTGTCAGCTCTGTGAGAAGTCGCCGGAGCAGTGAGATAGAGTCGCCGGAAATTTCGCCGGAAAATCTTCAAAACCTCCCTCACGTTTCGAGGTAAGCCCGTAGATATATCTAATGACTAGAATGTTCATATAGGTCGTTTCTACGTTCATAAATGGTCATTTGGTTGAGTTTTGTGTTTGCCATGTTTGAAGAACCAAGAATCATAAACCTTGAATTAGATGTTAAAAATATGTTTTAATAATTCTAAAATGATCTATGAACCTTGGAGAACATCTCTATATAGTTTAATTGAAGTTCGGTGACTAAAAATGGTTTTCCCGAAAAATGGACCGAGGTTGAAGACGAATGAACAGTGGCTGAAAATCCACAGGGTGGATCGATCCTCTTCATTGGATCGATCATCTGGGATTTTTTCTTCTAGTTTGATCGATCCAGAGGGCTGGATCGATCCTCCGAAACTCTGGTCCGAAAATTTGTCTGAAATTGCTATTTTTGAGCTCTAAAATCCTATTTTTGATACCAATTGATTATGACTATTATAAAAATGATTTTTCATAATAAAAATGATGTTTTTAACAAATTAAAACATTATGTGATGCATGACGGTAAGTCCGGGTGTTAACACTCGAGACTAGGCCGTTATTTGTTATTAAATGTGTGTTAATGATCTTTATGATAAATAATGGATGATTATGAATGATAAACCTACTGATTAGGAATATTATTAACGATTAAATCATTATTAAAATTGAATATAATGATGATCACAAAATCGGTGTGTTGTTAAGGCTATCTCGAACACCTCTAAGATAGACCTCAAATTAGATTGGGCCTTGCGGGTATAAATATGTATATTCGGTGGCCTTGGGTAAAAACGTACGTACGGGATCCATAAACCAAACTAGAGGAACTCGTTTGGGGATACCACCCAACCCGACAATTAGTATTCTACTGTTCGGTTTCTTGGATTTGTACCTTAAGCGAAGGCTAGTTTAAGAGTTGGTAAATCAATCGGAATATGTACCTTAAACTAATGACCTAGCTTAAGAGTNACCTTGAACTAGAAATAGTTTAAGAGTTGGTAAGCATCAAAGATTGGCCTTAGACTAAGCTTAGTTAAGGATATTGTTGAATATTGAATATGAATGTTGAGTATTGAAATATTGAAATTATCATGAATGAGTTATATATTGTGTGCATGATATCAAATGGTTGTTTGTGAATTAAGATTCAATTTATGTGGATGTTCGACGCTTTAGATATGCTTACTCAGCTTCATCGCTGAGCGTGTAGTATGTTTTATTTGCTACACGCAGGTAGACAGAATGAATGAATGGCATGTTCCTGGCAGCAGAAGGGGCGAGATTGTCGTGGTGGAATTTGTGATTTTAAAATAAATAATTTTGTTGTTATTAAACATGGTTTAAATTGCTTCCGCATTATTGTTAAACATTCCGTATTTTTCTACAGTTATGTATTAAACAATATTTATATGAATAAAAGTATTTGAAGTGTTTTAAATTTTACGATTACCAAGTTAATACTTTAGTCCAAAAGGGGCTGCAGACCTAGACGGATTAGGGTGTTACAATTTGGTATCAGAGCAAATGATTTTAAAACCGATCTTCGGATCAAAAGTTTGTTTAAAAAAAATTTATATATATATATATATATATATATATATATGATATAAATATTTTCGACCCAAAAAAAAATGATGTCAATCAAATCCACGACTCTCGCATCCCTCTGCTCCAGGAAGGTAATAAAAAAATTTAAGTATTGAATTTGACTTTATTAAACCTTTATAGATGTCAACTGTTAATTCGGAAATGATATCAAGTGTTGATTCAAGTCGCACTTTCGTATTTGGTAAAAGACGAAAGAACAAACGAAATGTCTATGACTCGTTGATACGTTACCAACGTGCACATCGCTTCGCGAGAATAATGAAACAAAGGATTTATTTGCGCCGCAAGGCTGCATGGGAACGAGACGACCTGGAAGAGACGTTCAGCGTAGACTCTGCCAACAGCGTATGTGGATCGGGCGTGGAAGAACCATCTGTGGATTCGTCACGATCCAACCAATCGAACGCAAACGTTTAGAAATTATCTTGTTGTTCATTTTAAATCCATCAATTGTATCGACTGTTGTAATCCTTTGCAATTCCTGTCTTAAACTCAACTACTGAATAAAGAATCCTAATAAAGGAAATTCTGTTATTGTAGAATGAGTCAAGAATCTGCCCACGGACAAGGCAACAACAATGAACACGTCAGTGTTCATACTGAAGCATCTAGTTTCACCCCTCCCATCCAAAATGAACCCGTCAATCAACAAAATGTTGGGAATAACCCGAATGCTGGTGGTCAACCTGACCTTGTGATTCCGACTTTCTTAGCTAACGTGTTACAACAAATAGCCAACGCGCTAATGTTTCAACCACCACCACCGCCGCCACCTCGAGTGATAACCTACAAAACGCTAAGGGATAACGGTGCAGAATTATTCCTTGGGGATCGCATCGGTGAACCCCAAATTGCATGGGATT